GGGATCATGACCTGAGCCGAAGGCAGATGCTTAACCATCTGAGCCACCCAGGTGCCCTGTGACCTTGTATTTTGAAACTGTAAAATTTGAGTTTTAAATGGTTTTTATTTTATTTATTTATTTAAAAAATATTTATTTGAGAGAGAGAGAGAGAGCATGAGCAGGAGGAGGGGTAGGGAGAGAGAGAGAGAGGAGCAGACTTCCCACTGAGCAGGGAGCCTGACATGGGGCTTGATCCTAGGAGCCTGGGATCATGACCTGAGCTGAAAGCAGCCACTTAACCAACTGAGCCACCCAGGCACCCCTAAAAAGGTTTTTAAAATGTGGATTCTTTTGGCTTTTCTATATATGAGTATATCATCTGTGAACAGATATAATTTTACTTTTTCTTTTCTAATTTGGATGCCTTTTATCTATTTTTGTCATCTAATTGTTCTAAGTAAAACATCAAGTAGTATGTTGAATGGAAGTGTTGAATTTACTTCATTCTTTTCTACCTGATCATGGAAGAAAAGCTTTCAGTCTTTAACTAGAGTATGGTGTTACCTTTAGGATTTTCATATATGGCCTTTACTACATTGAGGTGGTTACCTTCTCTTTCTATTTTGTTGAATGTCTTTATCACGAAACTGTTGAATATGGTCAAATTCTTTTTCCACATCAGTTCAAGTGATGTTATTTTTTTTTTTTAAAGATTTTATTTATTTATTTGAGAGAGAGAGAATGAGAGAGACAGAGCACATGAGAGGGGGGAGGGTCAGAGGGCAAAGCAAACTCCCTGCTGAGCAGGGAGCCGGATGCGGGATGGGACTCGATCCAGGGACTCCAGGATCATGACCTGAGCTGAAGGCAGTCGCTTAACCAACTGAGCCACCCAGGCGCCCAAGTGATGTTATTTTTGACCTTTATTCTGTTATCGGGACATCTTACATATTTTCAGTATGTTGAAACTCTAGAATTTGAGGAAGTATTCCCACTTGTTCATGCTTTAGAATGTTAAAATGTGCTTTTGCCATCAGCTCCCTATATTTTATTTTATATTTTATTAAAGATCTTATGTATGTATGTACGTATGTATTTATAGAACAAGCAGTGGGAAGGGCAGAAGGAGAGGGAGAGAGAGAATCCCAAGCAGGCTCCCTGCTGAGGGCTAAGTCCAAAGGGGCTGGATCTCAGGACCCTGAGATAATGACTTGAGTGGAAACCAAGAGTCCCATGCTTAACTGACTGAGCCACCCAGGCACCTCTCAGTTTGCTGTATTTTATTGTGGACTTTTGCATGAATATTCATCTTGGGTAGTAGTCTGTATTCTTTACCTGTAGGGTCTTTGGCTTTGATATCTGGATAAGGCTGGGGATAGAAAGGGATCTGATTTCTCTTCTCTTCACATGTTGGTAGTGTTTGAAGTTTGATGTAAGTTTTCGTTGAATGTTTCCTTGAATTAGCCAAAAATTCGTCTGGGTTATGCAATTTCTTTCAGAGTTTTTGGTTACTTTTTTCAGTCTATTTAGTAGTTGTAGGTCTGTTGTGAGGTGTTTTCTCGTTTTGTTTTGTTTTTTTTGGTCATGATAGAGTACAGATTGTATCTTTTTTTTTTTTTTTTTTTTAGATTTATTTATTTGAGAGAGAGACAGAGCACAAGCAGGGGGAGAGGCAGAAGGAGAGGGAGAAACAGACTCCCCACTGAGCCTGGAGCCTGACGCAGGGCTCTATCCCAGGACCTGGAGATCACAACCTGAGCCAAAGGCAGTTGCTTAACCATCTGAGTCACCCAGGCGCCCTAACAGATTGTATCTTTTATGACATTTATACACATGGTTTTTGGTATCCATTTGTTGGCATATAATTTTTCTTTATCGCCTCTTATTATTATTTCTATGGCATCAGTTTTTTATTTTTTATTTTTTTAGATTTTATTTATTTATTTGCCAGAGAGAGAGCAGAAGCGGGGGAGTGGCAGGCGGGGGAGAAGCAGACTCCCTGCTGAGCAGGGAGCCCGATATGGGGCTCCATCCCAGGACCCTGAGATCATGACCTGAGCTAAAGGCAGACGCTTAACTGACTGAGCCACCCAGGCGTCCTGGCATCAGTTCCAATGTGTTTTTAGTTGAGTCTTCTGTTATTTTTACTTGATTTAGTAAAGGGTGTGTCATTTGTCTGGATCTTTTCAGAAAACCAACTCTTTGTTTTGTTGATTGTTTTTTATTTTTTCCATATCCTATTTCTTAAAATATTTTATTTATTTACATATTTATTTATTTAGAGACCGAAAACAGGGGGAGGGACAGAGAGACAGGGAGAGAGAGAACCCCAAGCAGACTTCCACACTGAGCACAGAGCCTTTTGTGGGGCTCCATCCCACGACCCTGAAATCGTGACAGGAGCCGGAATCAAGAGTTGGACGCTCAACTGACTGAGCTACTGAGGTGCCCCTTGCTATATCTTATTTTGTTGATTTATGTTGCATGTTAAAATTTCCACCCCTCTGCTAATTCTTGGGCTAAACATACTTCTTTTTCCTATTGTTTTGTGTGTAATAAAGTGACTTGTGCTACAGTATGACAATGTTAGAAAATTCTCTGTATGATATCTTAGCATTTTCTGTAGGGCTAGTCTAATGGTGCTGAAATTGTAAGAAGTAGTTCTCTGGGAAATTTTTTATTTGTCCTTCATTTTGACGGAGTATTCTTGGTAATTTTTCTTCATTCATGACTGTTAGATTGTATACTGTTTTCTTTATATGAGGCTGTTGCTGAGAAATCTGATAATGCTGTAGAAGCTCTGTTGTACACCCTGAGTTGCTTAATCTTTTTGTTTGTGATTCTTGATAGTTTGATTATATTGTGTATCTGTGTGGATATCTTTGAATTTATTTTATTTGGAATTCATTGTGCTGCTTGATATTTTAGGCCTGTTTCTTTCCTCAAATGAGGGACATTTAAGCCATTAATTCTTCATATAAGCTCTCTGCCCCCTTTTATTTCTCTTTACCTCATTGGGTCCCCTTGATGTGTATATTGGTCTCCTTGATGGTGTCCAGTGAGTCCCTCAGGCGTTTGTCCCATGTCTTCATTTTTATTTTGTGCTCCCTGTAATTTCATAATTTTAATGAATTATCTTAAAGTTTTTTCTTTCTTTATTTTGCTTGATCAAGTCATTAATCTCTCTGGTGAAGTTTCAGATTCAGTTATTGTACTGTTGTACTACTGTCAGCTCTCATTTTTTGTTCCTTGATTATACTTTCTCATTGACATTTTGATTTTGTTCTAACATAGTTTGAATATTTTGTTTAACTCTTTTAGCTATTTAATCATCATTTAGATGGTTATTTTAATTATGTATCAGGTAATATAGATGTCCATAATCTGCAGCCAGTTTCTGTGGATGTATTTTGTTTCTTTCAGCATGCCTTGTTTTTCCTCTTTGTATGATTTTTGATCTTTTGAGATTTGGGAATTTAAACAACCTAGGTCTCCTAGTCTTTATGGACTTGCTTTTTTCAGGAGAACACCAATAACAGTCATAGGATGCAGAAAATTTGCAACTTGTCAAACCCATTCGGTCAGGTATATTCTCTGTGCATGTAACTTCCAGTAACAAAAAATTTCTCTGTTTCTTAAGAGCCCATGATATATTGCTCTCCCTACTGTCCGTCTTTAGATATACAGTCTCTCTGCTATCATAGTGTTCACTCGTGACAACAAATGGTGCATTGATGGTATATGCCATTCTGTGTTGTACTCTGTGCCATGTGAAATAAAATAAGTTTATCTACCCATATGAAAAGTCATAGCTTTGGACACAGAGACACTTCAATATGTTAACTATATGATTCATGTTTTCTTTTCTCGAAAATACAAATAAGTAAACAAAAGAATGTGTCTGTGACATGAGTGTAAAATACAATGAAATCTTAAAAGTTGGAGGCCTCATTGACTTAGAACCAACACTCCCACAAGTCAGAATCTTCAGTGCACAAACGAGAGAGCTTTCATTTTCCATTGGAAACTACAAGCAAAGAGAAACTCAGAAGAAAGGAGTTTCTAGTTTGAATGTGATGGATTCTACACACATTTTTCAGTAAATCCATCCAATCATTATGATTGATTAAGAGATAAATTAAGGAGGAATCTGGCGGAGAGCACCAAGCCAAGTAAAAGAAGTTAACATCAGCTGTAATAATAAGCAAATTAGTATCAGTGCCTGAGGCACACTGAAGGACACATTATAACTTCTGTGTTCTTGTAGCTGCCCTAGGGTAAATCAGAATATGAATCTAATTAAGAGGGCCACCTGAGTGGCTTAGTAGCTTAAGTGTCTGACTCATGATTTTGGCTCACTTCATGATCTCATGGGTCATGGGCTTGAGCCCTCCGTTGGCCTCTGTGCTCACCAGTGCTGACATTCAGCGATGTGGCCATCGAATTCTCTTAGGAGGAGTGGGGATGCCTGAACCACACTCAGTGGCAATTGTACAGGGATGTGATGTTAGAGAACTATAGACACCTCCTCTTCCTGGGTGAGGATGACTTTTTCCATATTTCCAAACCACACATGGATTTGTTCCTTCCTTTGAAAACCATCTCTTCAAAGATTCTTTGCACGACTGGAATTCAGATCCAGGCAATAGGGGAAATAAGTAGGGGTTTGTAGAGAAAAATTTTCACGGTATTTCCTTTTCAGCTTTAGCTTCGCCCTTCGTTAGGGTAATATCATCAATTCTGTAGATTTGTGGTAATTCTACATATTCAGTGACATAAAATGGTACTGCCTACATCCTAAACTCCAATTATTACTCTTTATTATTGTATCAGTAGTGCTTGGAAGTGGAGGTCATAATGTGAATATTCGAAACCCGTACTTGTGTTCTAAAGGGGCCGTTGGTTAACAGCATTTGGGAAATAATTTTCTAGAATTCTCCAATGTCCTCTCTTCTCTGCTGAGCACAATTTTGGATTGAAAGTTAGAATCTCCAGCAATACTTTTTTCTGTTAAACAGATCTCGTTGTGTGGAAACCAAACCTGGTCCTCTTTTTGGAGCAAGGGAAGGAGCTCTGGGATATGAAGAGAAAGAAGAGAGTAGCCATCCCCCCAGGTAGGTGGGACTGAAGGAAGCAGACGACAGAGGTGAGGTCCAAATGTGAAGCAGGAAGATTGACCTTAAAGTGTGTTTCAAGTAGCTCTCCTTGAATGGAAATTAGTTTGAGAAGCCTAGTTTTATTTCTCTCCCTCTCACAGTGGGACGTCTGCTATCCAGCATTATCAAGCTCTTACATTCTCTCAAGATTCTCCTTCAGCTCCAGTGATGGTCCATCACATCCACAGGGAGGGCCAGGCAACTACCCTGGGAGTGGGGGGCCCTCCATAGTCTGAGAGCTTCTCCATTGCTGTGAGGGCCCTGGGGAAATCTCCCCGTTTCTGAGGAACTCTATGCTAAACCTTTTCTAAGTTCTGTTTTGCCTCGTATGAGAAGTGTGTCATGATAGCAGTGGACATACTGGGGTTTGGTGCAGAAGTCATGGGAACACTGTTGATCGATATCTGGTGTTTTCTGGTTTATGCTTTCCAATGTTATGGAGGCTTTAATTTTAATTGAACAAAATTGAGACTCAGTAATCTCATCAGATAAAGCACCCCCCTAAAATGAGAAAATCTAATCCCTTATTTCTCTTCAAAGGTTCATTTTTCTTTGTATTGACTAATATTAGAAAGTTCTACTCTGTGTTGCATTCCTCAGTGGTGAAATAATGTATCTTTTTGTGTCCTAGAATTCCTACATAAATTATAAATTAATGCCATAAGGGAGCTAGCTAGAACATTTAGAACTTAGAACTTGCAGCCTATAATAAAGTCTCAGTTGTTATTTTATTTATTAATAATTGCATCATTTTAGAATTTTGTATGATATGAAGTTGTGATTTTTGTCATGTGTTTTCACTTTATTATATGTCAGATTCATCTCTAATTTTTTTATATGAATAGTGGTAATATGACATGGGCATATGCCGCTAAGAAGTGAGGTGGAAAATCCCCATATTTAAAAAAAAAGTTTTGTTTATAAATTTAATTTTGCTTTAGGAAAAATTAACTGTTAGGTTTTTCTTCCTCAGAATGTATCCGAATTTAATTCCCAGTATTTATTTTTTACAAAGTGATTGCTGGCATATTTTACAATTTTGATACTCTTATTTCAAAATGAAGGGTATTTCTTTGGGTGCTTGGTTCTTTTTTAAAATTTATTTATTTATGAGAGACAGAGAACGAGCCAGCAGTAGTGCGGGGAGGGGTAAAGGAAGAGAATCCTAAACAGACCACCTGAGGGGCTCAATCCCACAACCCTGAGATTGTGACCGGAGGTGAAATCAAGAGTTGGATGTTAACCTACTGAGTCACCCAGCACCCCAGGCTGCTTGTTTTTAAAGAGTGGATTATAGCCTTGCATTTTGTGTAAGAGGAGGGACATGTTAATAACATAATACATTTTTTAATGTCTTTTAAGTGTTCATTCATTAGAGTTATTCATGGTTGATTTTAATGAATATTCTTTACAATTTTACTGTCAATTTAGGCATGTCAATAATTCAAAATACTTGTTTTTCATGGGTACATAGTCACAGTTTAAAATTACGCTTATATAGAAGGTTTCCTTTCAAAAATTCATATATTTTTATGTAGACTTCTTTGGGTTAAATTTTGTCTTATTCTGCTTTTGCAATTCCGTAATAATGTGCTTACTTTTGTATGGGACCCTCCACAACATTATTTAGTTGTGATATTGTTGTTGCCTGTGTATTTTATTATAGGATGACAATTTTCAACTCAGTAGATTTCAAGACAATGTGAGTTTATCTCACATATGAATCAGCTTTATGCCCTTTATCAATAAAATTATGTATGTATTTGTATAAATACCACCCAAGCATACTTTGATTATGACTCATCTTGTGACTTTTTTTTTATTGGTTAGTGTTCAGTGAGTGTTGTATCATGTCTAGGTGAGTTGTTATAATATTAGAATTAATTTCATCAGCTATTGGTGAATTTATATTCCCTTTGCATGTGAGAAACACTTCTTGTGAATTCAGTGTAATTTTAAAACATTTTTATACCTCTGAATCAAATTTTGGTATTACATTATATCCTTAATTGTGGTGTTATACCCATGACATGCTTTGATATCATCCTCATTAACTTCTGTGTCTTCTCTGTACTTTTGATAATAGTTACATTAGAAATTACTTAAAACATTTTAAAGGTATAACAGACCATTTTAAAGTGCTCTTGTCAATTGCATACAAAACTCTTCTACTTATCATCTCCACCCCTGCACCCACTTTGTTACCAATATCACAAATTCTTTTATGTTGTGTACTTTGTTACCTAGGTTTATGATTTTATGCTTTTATATAAAAAGATTCTGTAGCAGAAATAAAAGTGACGTGCTACTTAATTACAATAGTACAGGTTTCTATAATTGTGTAAATGTTGACATTTAGCTGAGAGCTTTATGTTGTCATGTGGTTTCAGTTACTGTTCACAATCCTTTTGTTTCACCTAGAAAGACTTCCTTTAACGTTTCTTGTAGGACAGGTCTACTGGTAAACTTAGAGGGGTTTTTACTTGGGAAAGTCTTCATTTCTACATTCATGGAAAACCGCTTTGCCAGGTAAAGTATTCTTGGTGGCTATTTTTTGATCTGTCAGTATGTGAATATATTTTCCCATGTAGTTCTTCCTGTCAGGTCTGCTGAGAATCCCACTACTAATCTTATAAAGCTCTCTTGTACAAGATGGTTGGTTTTGTCATGCTGTTTCAAAATTTTCTTTTCACCTGAGATTTGTGATAAGTTAATTATGATGTGTCACTGTGTTCATGTCTTGAGATTTATCCTATTTTGAATCCACTGAGCTTGTTGAGTTAGTCTCTTTCCACATACATGGGATGTACAAGCCTTTAGTTCTTCACGTCAGCTCTCTGCCCCCTTCACTCTCCTCTCCTTATGGGGTCCCCTTAGTGCACGTATCGGTCCACTTGTTGGTCTCCCATGAGTCCCTTAGACTCTCCTTTTCCACATTTTTCTTTGATCTTTTCAGTAGAGCATTTAAAATAAGGTGTCTTTAAGATGTCTGATTCTTTCTTCTGATTAATCAAGTCTGTGGCTGACCCCTTGGTGGATTTTTAAATTCGGTGACTGTTGTCTTCAGCTCCCAGTTTCTGGTTCATTGTTGTTATACTTTCTGTCTGTCTGGATTTCCATTTTGGTCATGCGTAGTTTCCCTGATACCATTTAGTTAACTCTCTGTTTTCTTCCTCCATGAACATCTTTATGATGGTTATATGAATTCTTTGTTAGGCAACTAATAATAGTTCTATATTAATTTAAGGCCAGCTTTGGAGATTTACTTCATTCCTCTGTTTGGAACACATTTTTCTGTTTCTTTGTATGCTTTATCATATATATATATATATTTAAATATTTTTTATTTATTTGACAGAGACACAGTGAGAGAGGGAACACAAGCAGGGGGAGTGGGAGAGGGAGAAGCAGGCTTCCCGCTGAGCAGGGAGCCCAATGCGGGGCTCGATCCCAGGACCCTGGGATCATGACCTGAGCTGAAGGCAGACGCTTAACGACTGAGCCACCCAGGCGCCCTATGCTTTATTATATTTTGTTGACATACGTGGATTTTAAAAAAGCAGCCCCTGAGCCCAAGATTATGGACTTGCTTTGCAGAGAGGAACACAAATAATAGTAATTCTGGGACCTCTCACACATGTTCTGTGATTTATTTATTCAGAATTTATCATTTCTGAATTTTGGAATTTCCCAGGTTTAAAACTGTAGTTACTACTTTATGTCCGTGAAAGCTTCCTCTCTCTGTTTGTCTTCAGCTCTTTGTTCTCTCCATGGGTTGAACAAATGCTCACCTTTGGTCTGAGCAGCCACCACACTGCATCAAGAAGGTGCTGTCATTTCCTCTGCCTCCCATGTCCTGCATGACAGAAACAAGTCCCTCAGGCAGCAGCCAAGAAGCCAGATCATTGAACATATAGGTCACTCATTTGTTTCTTTCCTGAGGAGAGGTACGAGTTTTCTCACAGTGTTGCCATGGAGTATCTGGGAGGGTGAGTGGCTATTGTGGGCAAGTGTCACAAGCTTTCCTTGTCTCTTTGATGAGGCTCTTCTTCCTTTGTACTTGCCTGGGGATGCTATGTTCTCCTAACTGGCTTCTGGAGCACTCTAAAAGGTAAGTTGTTCCATTTTTGTCTCCATGGAGGAGCACAGTCCTGGTGGTTGCTATTTCTCCCTTCTGCTGAAGTGCTATGATGAGTATCAATTCCACACATGAGCATTTTAACATATAGGCATGTCAGTGTACTAAGTGTGATAACTTATTTTATATCTTTAAGTCGTGTCTTTCCATAACATCCAAGGCCTGTTGGCAAAGACAGGGAAAGGAGATTCAGTTTGTAGAGTGGTATGGGAAGATGTGGAAGCTGTGGAAATAAGTATTTATACTTATGAATGACTGGGAATGTGAAGGACATTATGATGGATATAACCAAATTGTGACAGTTACTATAATGAAATCCTTAGTGCCACAAAAGTTCAGGGATATAAAACATTCGGGAAAACCTCACCTTAAGTCAGTTATATATATATATTTTAAAGATTTTATTTATTTATTTGAGAGAGAGAATGAGAGATAGAGAGCACGAGAGGGAAGAGGGTCAGAGGGAGAAGCAGACTCCCCGCTGAGCAGGGAGCCCGATGCGGGACTTGATCCCGGGACTCCAGGATCATGACCTGAGCCGAAGGCAGTCGCTTAACCAACTGAGCCACCCAGGCGCCCAAGTCAGTTATATTTGCAGAACAATGTCTCCGAACTCAGGGATGATAATCCATTTTTTAAACATACATATGTTTTTGAACGGTATTTGGAAATTCTGGAAAGTCACCTAGCCCAAGCTAAAAGTAATCATTCAAACGATTTCAAATACAAGATTGGCTTAATTGTTAACTGACAAATTTCAGAATGTTAGACATTTAAAAGTGAAGATAAAATGTCTAAATGTGATTGATTTGAGAAGTGC